ATTCCAAAGACTGAAATTTATATAAAAAATTTAAATACTGTCACTATACAAGACAGATTCAAATAAAAGATTTAAAATATGCAACTTGCCACCAAATCCTGTCTGTGCGCTAAAGTGGAAGTCTCCCTTGAAGTGGAAGTCTCACCTCTCGGTCTCTTTGAGCTTAGTGTGCATTGACAGTAATGAACGAGAGAATGAGTTCGACAATAATGGAGTTTTGTTTCTCAGCTAAAATATTGCTTGCAGGAAAGCCAGGTGGAGAAATCTTGTCCTGCATGCAACTGCAGGAGCAGTGAGTGGATACTTGGAGTAAAGGGAACCTGAGAGGCACCGGAGATTAGGGCCACTCCCAGAAGCCCTAGCGAGGGACACACGCGGGGGAGGGAAACCAAGGACTCTAATACCCCTGAGCTACAACCTGCATGTCGACAGCTGCCTGGATCAAACCATTATCCCTGAAAATAAAATCACCACCACCAGTCCTTTTTTTTTTTTTTTTTTTTTTTTTTTTTTTTTTTTTGGACAGGGTCTACATGGTCTATAGGGTCTCGTACTAGATCGCACTCATAGTGAACCGCCTGTTTACACCTCCCAAGCGCTGGGATTCCAGGCGCGCCACCACACGAGTCTCAACAGCACTCTCAGCGCACTCCGGGCGCAGGGCCCCACAGCACGCTGGGGATCTAACCCCAGCCTCTGTGCTGTGGCTGGCCAGGTACTTTAGTCCTCTGAGCTGTCCTACCCACCCGGCTCACATGTTCTTAATGCTTGTCCCTTTGCTGTGGTTCATTTACTGTTCTATTTAATTTGCACATTACTATATAACAGTTGGTTTTCTAGCGCTTTCATTGGATTTGGTGTGGACTAACAGTTACGAGGTGGCAGATGTCAGGTCCTTCAGCCATCCTTCTAACCTAAGGTGCTACACTCTCTGAGCCAGCGCGTCTGATGCTGCACCTTCCCTCACAAGTCCTCTGCAATGAGCATGCTCCCACACCTCACTTATGTCACCACATCGCCGGGGACGTTTGTGCAGATTGTGGAGAAGGGTGAAACAGTAGGAGAAAGCTTCCAGTGTAACTCATAGCTTCTTAACTCTTTATCGTGTTAAAGACATTACAGTTTTTGAAAATGAACTCTGTATTTCATTATTTTTTCATAATTTTTATTTTATTAGTACATATTTGCTCCCCATGCAGCTTACAATCATCTTGGGGAGTGGTTACAGGTGTATAGCTGGTTTATCTCTTTTTTAAAAGGATTCCCTCCCTTTCCCCTCCCTTCTCCTCCATCCCCTGTAAAGGAAGTTCCCCTACTCCCTTTCCTTGCTGTTGATACTGTATTAGCTCATATTATGAATCACAATTTTTACATTAGTTGGGGTACTAGGTTCCTGTGCATGGTGCAACTTTATTCCTCTCACTTCCCCTTCCCCTCCTCCTCACCCCTTAACTGAGTTCCCATGGACCACTTCCTGGCAGCAAGAGACCCGTCCCATTGTCCCTTTCTATCCATCCTTTGCCATTTGCTTTATTTCTGCTTTGCCTTGCTGAAATGAGAGATACCATATGGTATTCCAGCTCACGTTTCGGATTTATTTCACCCAGCATTATATTGTCCAGGTGGACCCATTTCCAACAATAGCTAAAGCGTGTCGTTCTTTACAGCTGGGTCTTGTTCCACTGTGTATATAGATGGCACCATGTGTTTTCCCAGTTACCTGTTGATGGGCATGCAGCCTGCTCCTGGGATTTATCTATTATGAAGTGCGCTGCTATAGGCAAGGGCATTCAAGTGCCATTGCAGTACATAACTTGAGCTCTTTGGGGACGTCACCTAGTAGGGGGACAGCTGGGTCATCTGAGTTTCTAATTTCACTTTATTGAGTCATTTCCATACTGATTTCTGTAACATTTGCACAACCTTTGTGCTTCAATCAATAGTGCAGAAGGGCCCCTTTCCATCACAGCCATGCCAGCATTTGTCATTGCTTGATTTCTAAATGACTTCCATCGTTCAGACTAGCATATAACCTTAACGTTGTTTTAATTTCCATTTTTCTAACGTCCAGAGATGGTAAACATTTTTCCATGTATTTGTTGGCCATTTCTATTTCTTTGAAGTGTGTGATCATTTCTCCTACCCATTTCTTGATTGCGTCTTGAATTTTAGGTGGTTTAATTTCCTTTGAGTTCTTTATATTCCCTAGATATTGGTCCTCTGGGGAGTAGCTGGCAAAGCTTTTCTCGCATTCTGTAGGTTGTCTCTTGGCTCTACAGGTTGATTCTTGCTGTACACGTGGCTTGCAGACTGACAGAATCCATTTGTTCAATCTTGCTGCTGTTTTTGTGTGTGTGTGATTCAGAGGATGTTTAGAAAATCCTTTTCTATACTTATGTCTCCAAGTGTTTTACCTATTTTATATTCCAGAAAATTTGATTCTTCTGTTTTAATGTTTCTATCATTGATCCATTTTTAGTTTATTCGACAAATGGCATTGGGGAAAGTGGTTATTTTTAACTCTTTTTTAAAAGAGAATAAAAATTTAAATAACAGAGCTGGAGAGATAGCTAGGCAATCTAAGTGCCTGCCTGGCAAACTCAAGGACCCAGGTTTGATTCCCTTTACCACAAGCTGTAGCAGCCCCAAAACACAGGCACACAGTGCTATCCAGGGACACCAGTTGTGGTGGCACATGCCCGTAACCCCAGCACTAGGAATGCTAAGACAGGTGGGTCACTACGAGTCTGAACTGCCCAGTGAGACCCTGTACCAGATAGGTACATAGATGGATGGATGGATGGATGGATGGATGGATGGACGGACGGACGGACGGACGGACGGACGGAAAGACAGATAGATAGACAGACAGATATGGTGAAAGAAAAAATGCAAGTATCTTTTCAGGATGGCTCAGGTGATTATATGAGGAATTTCCAGTAGTGTTTTGAAAATAGCAGCTAATGTGAAGAATTTTCACCTTGACTAACTCTGTATGCTGATATCTGCATCTAAGCAACTACACTGAGGACAGCAATGCGGAATACAAAAACCATGCTTGACTACCTGTCATCTTGGTCTCCTAATCGTGTGCCATTTCTAATGTTGTATCAATTATTACTACACTCTCTTTAAAATAAATTTTTTAAAAAAAGTAACAGAAGAAATAAAAAGAGAGACAATAACAAAAATTTAAGGTTTAATGAAAGCAAGTGGTAATATTCAATCACACGTCCAACCTTACATAACTATATCTGTTCATCTGACCAGCAGACTTGATGATAAAAATGTATAATATATGAACTGTTGTTAATCAGCTACTCTTATTTTGTTTATACTCTTCAAAATTAAATTAAGTTAAATTAAAGAAAGAAAAAATAGATAAATAAAAGATTTTAAAAATTAAAAAAAAATAAAAATGATACAGAACTTCAAAACAAGCTGATAGGAAATTAACACTAGTTGTTACATTGCATTTTTATTTTCAAAGTACTTTTGCAGCTTACCAGATATAGGCACACAAAACTGAGCAGTTTCATATTAGCTGTTCCTTTCAATAAGTCAATGAAACCAGCAGTACAATTATCTTAGCTATCACTTGCATATTCATATATATATATATGTGTGTGTGTGTGTGTGTGTGTGTGTGTGTTTTCTCCTCCCTTCTTTCTATTCTCCCTTCCTTTAAAGTACTTTTCACTAATAAACCAGATCCACACATGTAAGTATTGTAGAGTTTCTCTAGTAAAAGAACTCAGAAGAAGAAATGAAAATAGAAAGGTATAACACAACTAAAAGGAAAGTGAGGACTTGAGGATTGGACAACGAAGGCAGGGCAAGGAGAAAAGCTGGGAAACACGACAGGAGCAAAACCGTACAATTTACATGCACATGATGGGTAAAGCAATGACCCTGAGCATCTTCAGCAGGGTTTTGAAGCTAGCAGTTAAGTGGTAGGAGTCTCACCCTGACTAGCTATATATGTTGATAGCTGTGAACTAAGCAACTGCACTGAGGATAGCAATGTGTAATAGCAATGTGTAATAGTAGGGTCATGCTTGGAATGCCTGTCACTCTGGCCTTCTAAATATGTATTGCTTCTCATGACATACCATTTACTGCCATACTGTCTCTCAAGTAAATGTTTGTTTAAAAAAAAGGGGTAATAAATGAAAACAAGAGACAAGAAAAATAAATAAATAAATTACTTTTCACTGATGGAATGATCATTTCACTCCTTGAATTTCTGTTGTTAGCTTCACCCAAACAGATAGCAAGAGGCAATCATCACATAGTCAAGCCTTCTCTTGGTTCACAATAAATGCTGAGATGGGAAGAAAATGTAAGGAGTAACTATACCCTCACTTCAGTTTGATTTTATCTGGCCTCACTTGAGACACTTGGGCGTAGGAACTACTCACCACAGGCCAGAGTTCACCTGGGTCTGAGCAGAGATTACTGCTGAATACTCATGTGAGCATGAATGAGTCCCTCCATCACCTGGATCAATGATTACATAACATGACAGACGCAGATCCACAGCACTGCTGGTGGAAGAAGGAACACACATCCACCGTGTGCGTGGCTATGCCTGTCCCTGGATGGCAACGTGGAAGTCAGTCTTTGCTGTATCCCAAAGAGTGACGTGGTCTGATAGATAGTGTTGTGTAGTTATTTTTAAGTTATTGAATCATCTCCTTATCAGTTTATACACTTACTAATTTAAAAATTCCCTTCATGATCCATTAAAAATTTTCTGATTAGAAAGTTTATAATTGTACCTATGGTTAATGGATTTAATGTGGTTTTCAAAAAAATGCTTTTTAAGGAACTATTCAATATTCTAGCTGCTCATCTACAACCATGCCACCCTGAACGCTCCCAATCCCAACTGTATTGGCATAATGACAAAAACATAATACTGATATTTTCCAGTTTCAGCTCAACTTCTTCGTCTTTGCCTTTTCTTTCACTGTTATACAGCATTCAGAGATTCTCATATGGCACTGATGGAGAACAGCACAGAGGTGGCAGCCTTCCTCCTGCTGGGCCTGACCGACGACCCCCGCCTGCGGCTGCCCCTCTTTCTCACCTTCCTGCTCATCTACGCCATCACTGTGCTTGGGAACCTGGGCATGGTCCTGCTGATCCTGCTGGACCCGTGCCTGCACAGCCCCATGTACTTCTTCCTCTGGAACCTGGCGCTGGTGGACTTCTGCTCCTCTTCCACTGTCACTCCCGTAGTAATGGCTGGCCTCCTTCTAGGAGACAAGCTCATTTCCTACAATGCTTGTGCTGCTCAGATGTTCCTGTTTGCAGCCCTTGTTACAGTGGAAAATTATCTCTTGGCTGTAATGGCCTATGACCGCTATGCAGCAGTGTGCAGACCCCTGCACTACACCACCACCATGTCCACTAGTGTATGTGCAGGTCTTGTCATCAGTTCCTATGTCTGTGGCTTCCTAAATGCTACCCTGCACACTGGGGACACATTCAGTCTCTCCTGCAACTCCAACGTGGTCCACCATTTTTTCTGTGATATTCCAGCAGTCATGGTTCTTTCTTGCTCAGACAAACAGGTTAGTGAGCTGGTTCTCATTTATGTGGTGAGCTTCCACATCTTTTTTGCCTTCTTTATCATCTGGACATCCTACATCTTAATTTTTGTCACCATCATTAGGAAGCACTCAGGCACGGGAGCCCAGAAGGCCTTCTCCACCTGTGCCTCCCACTTCACTGCTGTCTCCATCTTCTATGGGACGAGCATCTTCATGTACCTGCAGCCCAGCTCCAGCCACTCCATGGACACGGACAAAATCGCCTCCGTGTTCTACACCATGGTCATCCCCATGCTGAACCCCATGGTCTACAGCCTGAGGAACAAGGAGGTCAAGAGTGCGCTCTTGAAGGTCAATCGTGCATTCATTTTATGGAGCAAAAAGAATCTTTAGGAAATTTACTTTCGCCTTATGAGATTCATAATAACTGGGTTCATTCTTCAGATACTCATTACCCTTTCAAGCCAATATTGAAATAAATTTATTCTAGTGATATTCTCAATTTTCCAAAATCTTTGGCATTAAAAAAGAGATATTACACCCAGAAATGCCTACCTATGTGATAATAGCTGGGACGTCTTGGGCTCTGCTGGAGGACAACGATGTCTGCATGCATTATACAGGTTCTTTCCTAAAACATGCACATGCACACGTGTGTATAAAGGACAGACAGAGCTCATATGTGGTAGGAGCTCATGCAGCCCAGCCCTGCTGTCACGTACATGTGACGAGCTCAGCTCTTCCCGGATCCACACGTAATGTGACCACTTGGGGCCGTCACTTCAGCATTCGTTTGGCTGGGCTAGGGGTACTCAGGAAGTCAGAAGAAAGCTATGGAGCTGCTGTGTGGTCTTTCCCAGGAGTCGAGGACTGAGGCCAGGCTCTTAGCAAGGCTGCCCTCGCCATTCTGGGAGATCCAAAGGAAAACCAGACAGAGGACACATGCCTGCCTGCCTGCCTGCCTGTGTGTCTGCTTGTCTGTCTGTCTGTCACACACACACACACACACACACACACACACACACACACCTTCTCTCTGTCTCCTCTACCTAGGACATCCATGTCTCTTCTCTACTAGACCTCAGAGTGACACATCTGAGCCAGGCCCTAGGCCCTGGGCCTCCAGCACTTACACCAACCACACCTCGCTGCCATGACTCAGGCTTTTACTCGGAATGAACCCCTGCAGGGCTTGGTCACTGGCTAGCTGGCAGACAACACATCAAGGGACCTTGCGGGCCCCGAGTCAAGGGAGCTGACAGCAGTGAGAAACGCGGTCCTACACGTGTGCACACGCCCTCCTGACCTCTTCACTAGGGAGCACCCACTACACACTCGTGCTTAATAATAAGTCAACATTTAAGTTGGATATTACAATGGAAATTTTGTCTAGCATTTCTTGCTTTATCATTTTTACTCTGACAGCCCTATTTTAAAAAGATTCCACACACATGTATACTGTGACATATACATAGAAGTATAATTTAATGAGAGACCTCCAAATATGGCTTATCATATAAATTAATCGTTATTTTTACTAATTCATTTCATAAGACCACATATTCATATATCAATTTTTAAAAGGACAAAATAGAACACAAAAAGGCAGGAAAATAGACATATGCTGAATATCATTGATTTTTTTTTCATGGTTTTGACATCTTTCATCTTTGGTGTCTCATAGCTGTCTAGGAATCTTTTTGTTTAAGATTCTCCAATTTGAGGGCAGCAAAGATAGCTCAACAGACTAAGAGCCTTCATAAGCAAATGCAGAGACTAGGGTTCAATCCTGGCACCATATACCTTGCCAGCCCCACCTCCAGGCCCACTGAGTGGCCACTGAGATCAGGCATGGAGGTGCGTGCCTGTAATCCCAGCACTGAGGACAGGAGAATGACTATGGGTCTGAGCTGCGTAGTGAGACCCTGCACCAAATACATAACTGAAAAAATTTTTTTTTTAAAGTCTCTCCAATTTGATTGTACAGCTTACCACAGCAGTTGCTGATGATCTGGGTTTCTGCAGTGTTCACTGTCATTTCATCATTTTTTGCCTAACTCCTTGGATCTAAGTCTTTTGTTTTCTCCTGGTAAGTTTTGCTAAAGGCTAATCTAGCTATTTTTTCTTGCAAAGAATCAGCTGTGTGATCCACTGGTTCTTTGTATTTTTTAAGCCTCAATCCCATTAATTTCAGTTCTAACCTTCATGATTATCTTCTCTGTTGGATTTGGACTGCTCAGGGTTTCTTAGGATCTCGCGGCGCCATCGTGTCAGCTCTTTGAGCTCATGCCCCTCTTCTAGCATGAGCACTCTCCTCAGTGCACAGCCTTCTTAGGATTGCTTGTTCTGCATCCCGTCAGTTTTTCTAGGTTCTATCACATTACTGCTGAAGACACAGGGCTAGGCGGGGACTTCCTGACCAGAACTCCAGTGGCACAAAAATAACATCAAGAGCCAACAAAAGATTTATATCAAATAAAAAAAGCTTCTTCACAGCAGAGGAAAATCCAACAGAGTGAAGAGACAACCTACAGAATGGGAAAAATTCTAGTAACTCTTCACAGGACTAATATCTACCTATATGAGTAACTAAAAAAGTTAGACCAAAATAAAGCACCCAAGGAAAGCTGGACCAAAAAAATGAATAGACCTTCTCAGAAGTACAAATGGCCGGTGAGCACATGAAAAAAAATGTTCAACGTCTCGGGCCATTAAAGAAATGTAAATTATAAGACACAACCCACATTACTACACAATAAATGTCCATCATCAAGAAGTAAAATAAAATCTGGTGACACTGCACAAGAAAAAGAACGTTTCTCTGTAAGTTCATGTAGCCACTGTGCAAACTTGTAGGTTTGTTCTTCATAAAACAAAAGCTAGAAGTTCCATTTGACTCAGATCTTCCACTTGTAGGCATCATCCTGAGTGTGTTGCAGACCTCCCGTTACTAGGAGCCCAGCACAGCCACATTCACAGCAGCATACCGCACCACACGGGCAGCTTGGGAGCAGCCTGCAGGCCCCCAACAGATGAGCAGATAGAGAAGATGTGGCATTTATGCACACTGCAGTCCTGCCCTGCTACCAAGAAGGATACACTTGAGTCCTTTGGAGGAAAATACTTAACATCATATTTTTAAATGAAATAACTCAGCTTAAATATTTCATGGTTTCTCCTCTATGATAAACTCAAACTATAAATAAATTGAAGAGGAAGATAATAGGAAGCAGGAGAGGAGATCATTTGCAAGTGGAAGCAAGAGATAAAGAGTGGGGTGAGAGAGGGGAAGGCATATAAAAAGCATAGGATGGCTTTTTCATGTAGCAAGCACCATGGCAAATGTAACAGTAATGTGCTATGAACACACACACTCATAAAAATACAAATTTAAAAATAAAGCTAAAGACTCAGGGAGGCCCTGTTGTGCAGTCCTTCCTTGACCGGCCTCACCCACCACTCAGTGTCCCTTCACCGTGCGCACAGCCCCCCACTCATCAATCGCCCTGTCGAATCATGGCCAACCTTTAGCCACCACACATGCCTACATTGTCCATTTATCTTCCCCCAGAAGAGGGCAAACTCCATGAGACCTTTGACTTTATCAGTTTTCTCATAGTATGATGACAAGTACTTGCAAACATCTCAATGGCATTGTAAGTTCTCCTTAAATACTTACTAAATGCATGAAAAACAGAAAGGGGTTTTGATATCAACTGTGCTAGAAGTGGAGCCCTTGACTCATCACTTGTGACGGAGCCAAGCATGAGAGATCCTCTGGGTGAACATTCAGTGCCTTCTCACCGACACTGCTGTCTGGGTGTCTCATTGAAGCAGAGATGGCTGCATTCTCACTCAGTGTCAGACTCCTCGTGTGCAGGCTTGGCAGCTTCCTGGACATCCCATCAGCAAGGAGATGATCTCAGGCCCTCGCAGACTTTACTTAAGAGGATGTCTCACTAAGTGATGAGTAACAATAAATAAGCTCTGTCTGGCAACTTCTGGAGATAGTTATATTCAACATGGAATAGAGATTCCATATTTAGTGATTTTGGAACAATATTTATGATATATATATTTAGTACAGGGTCTACACGGTCTCACTATACAGTTCGGACTCATAGTGATCCTCCTGTTTTCAGCCTCCCAAGCGCTGGGATTACAGGCTTGCTCCACCACACCCAGGCTTAGAGCAGTATATATGTTTGACTAAAATGATCTAAATGTCCATGTAGAAAATAAACATGGTAAAATATTTCAGTAGAGAAGATACTGTTCATTCAATACGTGAATATAAAGTGCAGTATTCGTGTCTTAAATTGTGGTCTTCAGTGAACTCAATGGTGTGCAAACCCAAAGCCCAGGAATGTGGGTCCATGTGCAATTTTTCTCCTATTAAGAAAATTTCTGTATCCCAGTTTTTATTATACTGGGCTTGAATATACTATGATGTTCAAGAATTTAAACTACACACTTCCAGAGCAGTGGAATATAACACAATACTCACTTCTGGGTTTATAGTGGCAATTCTCCTGTTGACATGAGTAATCATTATTTAAATAATCATTTACTTTTAGGATTGTTTTGGATTTATAAAAATGTTTAAAGACAGTGAAGCATGTTCCCATGTGGCCCCAGGACAGTTGCAACGGTGGGCCGCAAAAGGTCCAAAGTCTGTTGGGTACAGCCAAAAATCTTGTTTACAGGACTTTACAGATAATCTGAACCAACAGAATGTGCATACATAGGGCTGGCCAAATAACTCAGCAGACTAAAGTGCCTTCTTAGGCAGGTGCATGGGCTGGGGTTCGATCCCCGGTGTGCTGTGTCAGCCCTGCCCCCGGGACACACTGAAATGGTGATTGAGACTGAGCATGGTGGTGTGCCCCTGTAATCCCAGCGCTTGGGAAGCTGAAAACAGGAGAATCACTACAAGTCTGATCTGTGTCGTGAGACCCTGCAGACCCTGTACTAAATACATTTTAAAAAATGTGCCTACATGCATACACACCTCTTTAGCCTCTTGTGTATTGAAACATGTTCTACATAATATAAGAAATGGATTCTGTGATTATTGAGGCTAAAGAATCCAATTCTCTGGGGGTCCAGAACACTCAAAATCTGAGCAGCTGAGAGCTTCCTCACTAGGGTAACTAATGACAGAATTGCTTCAATGTCTTGCAAAATCCCCTCCCTATACAATTACATCCTCACACTTCATGTCATTGTCACAAAGTACAGCTTTATGTATTATATTCCTGCTAATAGGATAACTATCTAATTTCATATTCATTTCTACAACCTCTTAGGAATAGAAAAGTTTCCCATCTCAACAATACTACTTGGTGTTACATTTTTATGCTGTTACCTTCACCACTTCTCGTATTTCTTTT